TTTCTATTGTTATTATTTCCATGATATTATCAACAACTATTGACATTTCATTAATTAATTTACATTTTATTTCATTTTTAACAAATAGAGCCACTCCACCACCTCTTTTGTTGCTTCTGTTCACATGATATAATTCATACCCTTCCATGTGAACATTAGTTGTGTTTTCATCGTTGAGCCACGTCTCCGACAGTGCTATTATTGTAAAGGTTCTGTTTAACTGTTTTAAATAATCTGTTATTTTGGATATATTTGCATTTAAACTTCTACTATTAAAGTGAATAATAGAGAGACCTCCATTTGTTATATTGATGTCATTAAACTGTTCTTCATTATAATATTCACAGTCTTTTATTGCAGGGAAAAAAATTGTATCAATCGCATCTTCAACATTGTATATTTTAAACTCTAAGTCTTCGTATGTTGCCATGTTTTAATGTATTTGTTTGTTTTATATTTTGATTATTCATTGCTTGTGAAGTTGTGTCAATGATTTATCATCTATCATTTCCTGAGCTTATTTTAGTCTTTCCAGATCTTTCAGGTCTTTTATTATCTTAGCCTGAGATCCTTCCTGTATTTTGATCCGGATGTTTCCATTTCTTGTCCAAGTTGATGCTATTTTTTTCTGTTTTTTCAACCACCTTGCTTCACGTGCAATGTTTCCATTTTTTTTAGTTAGATGTTCATTTATGTAAACATTTGTTCCCTTCAGTTTTTTTGCTTGCATTATTACATGGTTTCTTGATTTCCTGCTAATGAACTTGATGACTATGGAGGGTTTGGCTTTATCTGATTTGTTGGGCAGTGTGTGACAGATTGAAATGTCCTCATGTTCGATGTCAATGTCTTTGCTTTGTAAAAAATTCACTACTTGCTCCTCCAGAGTCTGTAGTTCTTCCTGTGGTGCGTCTTTAAAGATATAAAAACAAATAAAATTATTTTAAAATGGATTGACAGCTGGGAGACAGCCTCCGGGAGAACCTTGAACATGTTCCGAGGGAGGTGGGGGACATTGAGTCTGAGTGGACCATGTTTTGTGCCTCTATTGTCGAGGCGGCTTACCAGAGCTGCGGCCGCAAGGTTGTCGGTGGCTGTCGCGGCGGCAACCCTCGAACCCGATGGTGGACACCGTCGGTGAGGGATGCTGTCAGGCTGAAGAAGGAGTCCTATCGGGCCTTTTTGGCCTGTGGGACCCCGGAAGCAGCTGATGGGTACCGGCAGTCCAAGCGACATGCGGCTCGGGTGGTTGCTGAGGCAAAAACTCGGGCATGGGAGGAGTTCGGAGAGGCCATGGAGAACAACTTCCGCACAGCTTCGAGACGATTCTGGTCCACCATCCGGCGTCTCAGGGGGGGAAAGCGGTACGCCACCAACACTGTTTATAGTGGGAGTGGTGTGCTGCTGACCTCAACTCGGGATGTTGTGGGTCGGTGGGCGGAATACTTTGAAGACCTCCTCAATCCCACGGGCACGTCTTCCACTGAGGAAGCGGAGCCTGGGGAATCTGGGTCGGGCCCTCCAATCTCTGGTGCTGAGGTCATTGAGGTGGTTAAAAAGCTCCTCGGTGGCAGGGCCACAGGGGTGGATGAGATTCGCCCAGAGTTCCTTAAGGCTCTGGATGTTGTAGGGTTGTGTTGGCTTACGCGACTCTGCAATATTGCGTGGACATCGAGGGAAGTTCCCCTGGATTGG